AAAAGCATTCTTGAGTAAATACTCCTGAGGGCTTTGTTGTTTGAAGCTAAATCAAAGAGCACTTAGAATGATCACGAGCCAGGAGAACCCAGCTGTACATTTGTAAAACAATGTGACAACTTGAAATACGTCTGTCTTTAAAACCCCTGAAGGAGGAGAAACTAAATAACGCTCACTCAATTACTTCCAGTCAGGTTTCAAGGGCCTGGAACTAAATGTAGTGCTTTCAAAAGTCCAAACAAGCATAAATTGAAAATGAGAGCAATTAAAATGAAACCATTCATTGATTTGTGGAATATAAAGTTTCAAACTCTTTAAGGTGATTCTTGTTTATTGATTGCTTGCATTTATGTTTGTTATAGGAATTACGCTACAAAACTAGTGCTACACTGGCACCTAACGTTCATAAAACAGTACTGCAATTCAAACTCTGGGCACTAGACAAATCATCTAAAATCATGCCAAGAAATAAACTCATGAGAATGCAAGCAAACATCTAAAGGATGGACATCACAGTTCTCACGTAACCCCATTGAGACATGTCATATTATCAAGACGGATTTTGCGAACAGACAATGGAAAAGAGATAATAGATGTCTGGTAAAGGATTTTGGCGAGTCACTGGCAGGCAGTACCAGATCACCAACAGATACAACCGCCTTTGAATAAAGCAGATCACTGTGATATAGAGGTCATAAAAAGATTTATAAATCACAAAAATAAGGGTATGTAAATCTTAATCCAATCAACATGGATTACAAACCATCCATATACACATAATACTTGGCACTTTCATACTGCTATAGTGCCAGTTCTGTCATTTCTATGGGTGAATACCAGTGGTTTCAGTTAAAAACAAAACAAAAAACACCAACAACTATGGAGAGTTGATGCTATAATACAATGAATTTACATGCCATGACCTTGCTGAGACAATGAGTAAACATGCCATTGCACTGAAACTGAAAAAATGCTACAGATATTAAAAAATGGGGCTAAAAATGCTCCATTGTTCTCTTTCATGTTTTATGTACACTACCGTTCAAAAGTTTCATTAATTTTTTTAAAAACATATCTCCTGTGCTCACCAAGGCTGCATGTATTTGATTAAAAATACAGTAAAAACTGCTAAATTGTGAAACATTTATACAATTTAAAATAAGTATTTTAGTATTTTAATATATTTTAAAATGTAATTTATCCCTGTAATAGCAAAGCTGAACTTTCAGTAGCCATTACTCCAGTCTTTAATGTCACACTTCTTAGTATCAATGCTGAAAGTTAATATTTTTGTGGAAATTCTTTGATGAACAGAAAGTTCAAACAAACAGCATTTATTTGAAATTTAATGTATCCGTCCTGAATAAATGTATTAATTGCTTTCAGAAAAAAATCTGTCCCCAAAACTTTTAGACGGTAGTGTACATTTTTTATATATTTCAGAATATTCAGATATTGGCCCAGGTATGCACAGTATATATAAACACAATGCCTTAAAAATAAAAATTGTCAAACATATCTCACTTCACTGTCCAAAATGTTATGTAGTTGGTCTGACCTCAGGTTATATTACTCTCATCCAAACCCACAATATTTTCGTCCTTACCCTCTTCTTAGCTCACTCAGGCACTTAAATGATAACATCCCACAATGCATCTCTTTATTCAGAGGAATAGTTTGATGAGGTCACAGAGTGCAGATGTTCTCAAATCCCTCACAGGTATTGTTTTGATTTTCTCTCTCTGCACAGACCATGAATATCCTTCTGTCACCAGGTACAGCGTGTGCATTAGACACAATAACAAACATTCCCACTGACATGACATGAACAATGCAGGTTCACAAAATCTGTGAAAAACAGCACGTTTACAACAAAAAAAAAGGGGAGGACAAAGTGCAGAAACCATCTAAAGTCACTAGAGCATGAGTTGATAGAGGTGCACTGAATCAGGGACAACATCTAAAACATGACAGCTGAGATATCACTTTTTAATCCACAAAGAGATGTCTGAAAACAGTCAGCTTATTATTTATCTGAACTAAGAGTACTGAATGGTTGAGAAATTAATAAACAAAAAACATCTCACAAATGCTTGATATTAGTGCTTCATACAAATAAAAATTCACTGCTATTCATGGGGTGCAAAACAAATATATAGGCAGTCAGTCAGACTAAATATTACTTCATCTGTTATTAATCATTTAATTTGACTGATTACGGTTTAATTTTTAGTCTGACATGGAAATAGTTGTCTGAAATGGGGGCCTGTTGAAGCAGGTCTGGATTATTCTAGAATTTCAGTCTTCACAGTGTGCAATCTGATACTGCACTATTAAAATATTTCAAAACTGTATTTACTGGTTTGACAATCCTGTCATGGTTAAGAGCAAAGGTTATGTGATTTAAAGGTTAAATACGTTTAAAGAACAAATGCTTAAAACTGTTATGAACATAAGATAAATCCATCTTTAATAAGTCTATAATAAACTTTCAAATATTTAATTAATACAATTTTATTTGTTTTTAATTGCATATAATTTATTAATGTCAACACATAAACAATCTGATTTAATTTAATTATTGATAACTATTATTTAATTATGTTTTATTCAACATCAGTACTACAATATCTTTCAAATCAGCGTAAAATGTAAAATGATTAAATCAAGTTAAATTAAAACTTTCTTACTTCAGTATCTGACTAAATTTATTTCAGAATAAAAATATGTATTGTGTAGGTATAGCACACTTCCCTTTTTACAGAAAACTGAAGGTGTTATTAAACACCAGTCTCACGATACACAGTGTCAATGAAAGAGCCTGAGGGAGAGAGAAAGAGAATATAAGAACGACAGGGAGGTATAGGGAGGCTCAGACATTTTTAAGAATGTCTTATAAAATATTCTATTATGATATTCTATTCCAAAAATAATTGATTGTCAAAAACTATAAGCAGAAATCTGACTGCAATTGTTAAACAGAATGGCAAAGGACTCATAAACTGAAAGCTTGCCATCTCCTCTCTGTGTTTTGGAGAAGAGTGTTTGGTGTTGTTCTCTGTGTGGACATCTCATAAGGAAGCAACATTATCCTCAGCTCCTTTGTCAGGCGGTTTGTAATGAGCCTGTAATGAGTTCATGTAAAATGCAGCAGAGAGATCATCTATCTCACCCAAACCAGTGGTCCCTACAGCACTGAACTGATACAGAGACCCTACAGTGGGTACGGAAAGTATTCAGACCCCCTTAAATTTTTCACTCTTTGTTATATTGCAGCCATTTGCTAAAATCATTTAAGTTTATTTTTTTCCTCCTTAATGTACACACACAGCACCCCACACCCTCTCAACCTAGGAGACAGCGAAATACAAATATCATAACAAGATATACTGTGTGATAATCAAATAGCTACTCTTGGCTGTATTTTCTAAACTTGCATTTCAATTTTATGAATGTTATACTAGACTTTAAAGAAACGGACAATTCTCCTTACTAACTGAAAATATTTTTTCAGAATAGGGAAATATGGTATCATAAGTTTGTATAAAGAGGGGATATAAGATATAACCTAGTTTTGATAGTTTCTGACTGTAACTTCATACACTATTTCATTTATATCTCTGTCCTTGTTAGTCTCAAACTAACAAAAATTAATTACTTGTGTTATCTAGAATACAACTAATAATAATAATAGGTCTGTAGTCCATCTAATGGCACAGAACACATGTCCACTAATATTTTCCACACTCTCGTGAAATCGTCTTTACTCCTACAAGCCGACAACAGTGAACCCTATCCGGTCAGCTGAACCAGGCCGAGGGGGTGGAAGTCGCGGAATTCCGAAACATCTCACAACGGAAATTGTAGATTTTTTCGGGTGATAGGAGAAAATACTACTTAACAACCCATTGGTTTGCGCTGTACAACGGCTAAAACAAATACATCTAATTTATCACACACGTTTGATTCACCAATCTGAAATACTCCAGTGCACAGTATACTCTGACTCTCGCATCATTCGTGGACTTACCGGTTAACGGTTAATTCACAAATAATCTGCTGATCTCCAGATGACTGAATTGATGCCGCAGGTGCTGCTGTCTAAGTGTGTTGCCAGACGACTACAAATGAATAACTTATAACTTCAGGAAAATACAAGCATAAATAAAATTGTCGCAGTTAAACGCGATCTCTTTCACTTATGTAACTTTTAAATATTACACACGATATTTTTTAGGGATTGTTAGCTGTTGCTAACCATTGACATGTTCATGATTTCAAGAGTGTCCAAGCAACGGACGCAACTCTCCATCAAGTTTACTTTTCTCCCGCGTTGTTTTCCAAACGTTACGTTACTCTAATATCTTCCGGGTTGTTCCTTTAGTCGGGATCAGGATTGGGATCCTATTTACATGAATTCAGAAACCCGATCGATTCTTAACATATTACATTGTCTTTACGAGGAATGTTGTGGTTATTTTCCATTAATACTTTACTGTCCAAATTGAACTTACACAAATATTTAAACTAAGTGCATTTATTTCGCATAAACTGCTTTATTATGTTATTTTTGTGAGCAAATTATATTTATCACGCACAATAATCTTCAAATTACTGAATCTTTCAAATTAAATGCCCTAGTGAATCTTTTTTGAGAGTCAGGGATAAAAAAAAGGTATAAATAATCTATTTTTAAAAACGCTATATAAAGGCTATAAATAAAACATTCTGAAATATGTAGTATTAATTAAAAGTGCAAAAGCATTTTTGTATTTTTTATTTTAAATGCAAAATATATTTAAGTTAAAACTATGTTTTAATGACCCGACAACAGTCTTTCGTATCGGTTCTTTGAAACGAACTGCTCGAAAGAACCGATTCGCTGAAATAAGTCGGACGTCCCATACACGACTCATGGAAGAGGAATCTATTAGTTTGTGATTTATTGTAGTGACTTGTAGGAACTGTAGTTTTTATTTCAACAAAGTGAACTCCTTTAGCGCCACTAAAAACTAAATTTCCCAGAAGGCACTTGAAACGCAGGTGCCCCGGCAACTTGTTGCCTCGTGAGGAAAATAGGGGTGACCTCCGCAATCACCCGAGTAGTGGGAGAGCAGCTGTCATCCTCCACAAGCTGAAAATGGTAAGAAAATTACTATTCCGACTTGCATTGATATGAAAATAAGTTTTACTGTCAAAGTATGACAATGTAATTGTGAAGTGGCCCAAGGCTTTGGAAATCAGTGTCGAAGTTTAATTAGACTTTAAGAATTACAGCAGAACTTATCTTTTGCTGAACTGTTATATGCAAGTTAGTACCAAGACTAGCATTAGTGATGATTAAAACACCTGTTGGAATATAACAGTTAAGCATTTATGTTTGCATGTGATATTTCTTATATCAAACCGTTAAGAGCATTTTGAGGTGTATTATCGAATAGATTATCATCTATTCTGTGTAAAATAAAAAATAATGGATTAGACTATTCTGAATATAATACAGATACATTCATTTGCAACAAACGAATGTTTCTGCAGAAGTGCCAAATAGTGAAAGTGAGTTCATTGAAGAAATGTATAAATGTCTCTTGGTTTAAAAATATCCCACACAGCAAGTCATTCTGAGGTCTGGCAGAGTTTGCCAGGACTATTTATATGTTCTAACGTGGTGGGCCTCCTAAGCGTGTCTGTCCTGAGTGGTTGTTGTAATAAGACTTTTATATTCTATGCTAACTTACATCTATTGTTTATAATTCTATCTCTCTTGTTTTGCTGTAGGCTGAGCCTATTAGGGTCCTGGTGACCGGCGCCGCAGGGCAGATCGCATACTCTCTGCTATACAGCATTGCAAAGGGAGATGTCTTCGGTAAAGATCAGGTAGGGGCAGGATTTGGCTTACGCAATGTCCCGTCACATCCAATTAAAGTCTGTTGTATCATTTAGCATGCTGTTTAGCTAATTCCAGGAAAAGGCACCATATATGTCTTCAACAGCTGATGAGATTATTGCAAAACCAAAACCATATTATGACAGTTATAATTAATTAATAACAATTCATAATTTATGCATTTAGCAGACGCTTTTATCCAAAGCGACTTACAGTGCATTCAGACTATACATTTTTTACCAGTATGCGTGTTCTCTGTGAATCGAACCCACGACCTTTTGTGCTTCTAACTCAATGCTCTACCACTGAGCCACAGGAACACCATTTAGTTATGCAAGACATGCACTAATGTTCACAATTCTCACTTTCAGCCTCTCGTTTTGCTTCTGTTGGACATCACTCCCATGTTGCCTGTTCTGGAGGGTGTCGTTATGGAGCTGCAGGACTGTGCTCTCCCAATTCTGAGAGGTACACATACACACACATACATACAGAATGGAGTGTCATGAGGCCCTGTATCCTGTGGTCTTTGTGCCAGCCATGCAGTCTTAAAGGCCTGTGTTTTCACTGCACAAATGACAAGAGCTCAGAGCAATCTGATTGACTGCCTGTATGATCCCCAGCTGAAAGGGCAGCTAAATTTAGGATTGTAGTTCCCATCCCAGGATGATGTGGGAAGGTTGACAGTATGTGACCTGTCAAGTGCATGGAATCAGCAACCAAAAATTCAGGAGGCCCAATCTGGATGGATAAACAAAATCAAGCCACTGTATAAATGTATATATGTTTGTATGCATGTATGCATTGTGACGTTAAATGCATGACAATCATCCTCCTGCACATTTGAATTGTTTTATACGTAGTAAATACACATAATATGCGTATTTAACTTGTAATAAATATATGGCAGTTCAACAAATATTGCCTACCTGATATAAAAATACTTAACTTAAACAATACATAATTATAATAATAATCTTTCAATTATTATTTCACAAATTCACATTTAATGAAAATTAGGAATTTTTGGCAGGATTGTGTAGGATTAATGTGCTATTAAAATATCTAATATATTAAAAGACTGTTTTTTTTAAGCAAAACTATGATGATTTCATAATACAATGTATTGTAATATATTATAATATATTAAAAACAGTCAACCAGTCTTTCACATTACCCAGGTTCTTTATTTTCGGAGTTTCTCGTGTGTTGTCTTGTGACTCCCTGATGTTGCTGGTGTTGTTTACCCTCAATCTATTTTAATGCCACTGTCTGTGCCTTTTGTTGTAGAGGTCATCCCCACTGATAAAGAGGATATTGCATTCAAAGATTTGGATGCTGCCATCCTGGTGGGATCCATGCCAAGAAGAGAGGGCATGGAGAGAAAGGATCTACTGAAGGCTAACGTTGCCATCTTTAAGTCCCAGGGGCAGGCGCTTGACAAGTATGCAAAGAAAACAGTCAAGGTGAATAACAGGATAATGACCGTTACCTAATTAAGAGCAAATATAATGAAGTGAAGCTAATTTAAAAGCAATATGTTTTAATATGCAGGTTCTAGTTGTTGGTAACCCAGCCAACACTAACTGTCTGATTGCGGCCAAATCCGCCCCATCCATCCCCAAAGAGAATTTCTCCTGTCTGACGCGACTGGATCACAACAGGGCTTGCTCTCAGGTAAAACAGCCCTTTGCTGGATGGCCCACCAATACAAAGAGGTGAAATACTTCAATGTATGCCTAATTTTCACACTAACTTGTACCACACAATGTGTCCTCTAGGTGGCAACACGTTGTGGCATTTCAGCAAACGTTGTGAAGAATGTGATCATCTGGGGAAATCATTCATCTACGCAGTACCCTGACGTCCACCACTGCAAGGTGAATGTGCAGGGGAAGGACGTGACTGCCTTTGATGCAGTGAAGGACGATGCCTGGCTAAAAGGAGATTTCATTTCTGTAAGTGCTGTCTGCTGTGGCTTCCTCTTCCTGTAGAGGTCACTGTTGGCCTATTTACTATTCCACATTACTGTGTAAGGAAGAGCAATTATGTTTATCAGCATTCATGTGTATGACATTGAGTAATAAGACAGTTAGGTCTGTTGTAGCAACATTATTAATATACTTTGCATATGACTACTGATTGGAGGGATATGATCAAACTCTTTCTGTGGTTATTCCACTCTTCCTCTCTGTTTCTCAGACAGTGCAGCAGCGTGGTGCTGCAGTCATTAAAGCCAGGAAGCTCTCCAGTGCCATGTCAGCGGCCAAGGCCATCTGTGACCACATGAGAGACATCTGGACAGGCACTGCCGAGGTCAACTTTTTACAATTCACGCAGACATTGGTTTTAGACTGTTCTGAGACCAATATTTCATCTCTGTATTGGTTAAAATATGCATTGTTTTCTCTGTAGATCAGTGGTTCTCAACCTTTTTGACTCAAAGGCCTGCCACTGTCCAACACAATATATTTCTGCTGTAGTCATGACAGTTGCTTATTTTCAAACAGTTTTTAAGAGTGTAAAAACAAAGTATTGATATATTGAATTTCAAAGAACTATATGTTCTTCAGTAAAATCAATAGTTATTGATGGGAAAAAAGATGATTTGGGTTTATGTTTAAAATGAGTTTTTTTAGCATTATAATTTAGAGTTAAAAAATGTAATATATCTAAAAAAAAACTATTAATTTTTAATTTATTAAATGTAATATTTAAGTCATTTACAGAACTACTTCTGTAGGTATTTTATTGCATCAGGTGTGGAGGATTTCCACTTTAAAATGTTGTACATACCAGTCATTTTAGACAAACGGAGGCTCAAAATCAAATAATAAACAGGGGAAGACACAAGGGGGGAAAAAAGTCCTAAATTGGTAAAACAGTCCTCCTTTTAAAATGTCATGAAGAAGCGTGATGGCACTATAAAACTAAAAAGCCAAGCAATATTAAATAGAAATGCACAACGACATCCCACACAAACACCATGGGAGTTGCTCATTAAGTATTTACTCATCTACATGTAATTTTATGTGCAATATGAAGATTGGATAATATGATGGTGTCTAATGAAGGTTGCAAGTGTTCTCTACTTATTCTGTGATGTTCCACACAAGGCAACAGCTTTATTTGGACTAATGCTGTACAGATTTATGAAGAACTGCTGATTTGATCTGAACTGCTTATGTGTTTGTTTTATAGGCTGAGTTCATCTCTATGGGTGTCTATTCCACTGGAAACCCTTATGGAGTACCTGAGGACCTCATTTACTCATTCCCTGTTTCAATCAAGGTTTGTCATTAAAAATTCCCCAAATCTATGCCTGATATCGGTTCCTTACACAGTAATCTGTTCCACACACATTTACATCTATTTATCAAGCTCAACTAGAGAATGCTGGATTTTAGCCACCCTTTCAAGATATTTGTCTTTTATTTCAGGATAAGACCTGGAAGATTGTTGAAGGCCTGGTCATCAATGACTTCTCAAGAGCAAAGATGGACGCAACATCAACTGAATTAGTGGAGGAAAGAGACACCGCTGTCTCTTTCTTGGGTGTGTGACTAGAAACCCACTCTTAGATGCCCAGAAAACTCCAAAAGCACGTTTGTAAAACACTCCTGAAAATCTTTTTCTTCCCCTGAAACTGTTACACAAATAATAGAACTATATGTACTTGAATTTCCTAAACTTGTTCAGCTGGATTTTGTCTGATAATTCAGAATTGGAATCTAGTCCAGCTGTTTAACAGGGACTTTGGTTGTTTCCTTTCTTGTTTTTGGTCTTCCACCAGAGCACAGCTTTCATGTAAAGAGAAAAGGTAGTCTAAAACAAGATTTTAATTATTTCTAGACTGCCCTTTCCAATCCAGAATTGCTTAAAGGAGGACTAAAGCCTGGAAAGGATTCAGAGTACATGGATTAGGTCTTTCTGTGTCATTGTGTTATTGTCCAGACTGAAATTTCAGCTATTACATATCTGACAGGAGTCAGAAATGATCAAGGAATGTTTCTTGTTGTAATTAAATTCCTCTGGCAGTGTGGTTACTGTAACTGATGTTTATATGTAGAATCCTGCAATAAAACCCAGACATTAAAATGCATTATTGCACTTATTATTATGATACATTATTTTTGTATATTAACAGTACTAAAACATTCTTTTGCACACTCTGGTTTACAATGAATAATAACCAAAATTGTCTATTACCGTCAATTCATTGACATATGTAGTGTTTAGAGTCAAAATAATTTTTTTCGTTTCTGAACCTTACTTAGAAATACTGAATATTGTACATACTGTATCTTGCAACACATTACATGCGCTGTACGAAAGGAGTGCTGATCGTTCTGTCCTGCAAGGTCATTGGTGTGAGGTTGCAGACGTGGCATTGCCGTCTGTGTTGCCAAATCTCGATAAAAAAACCAAGGCCAAAATTTGCGATGTCTTAAATTAAATATTTCTACAAAAAAATTGACGTGGTTTAATAGAAAACTTGCCCTCTAAGTTAATAAATACAGACACCTATTAACAATGGAGAAAATATTTAATAATTACTTAGTCTTAGATAATGGTTAATAGGTAGGTGTGTTTGATGCTGTTTTTGATAGACAATGTTTTACTGGGGTATATAATTGTACTACGAATAATTGTATAAGAAGTCCCCAATTAAGCGAGTGTATTCTACAAATAAGCTAACAAATCGCAACCCAGCAAAGCTTCTATTTATAAGTGATTTCATTAAATGGGAGTCCACAAATCAATTATAATAAGAGCACATGGCAACACTGCAGTCCGACTGCACTCCGCCAATAAGATGCGCCGCTCTGAAATACAGCGCTCTCATTGGTTACAGCGAGTTTACGTTTTCCCTTTGGAATTCAATCTACTGCAATGTTTGTCGTACCTTGCTTTTTTTTTACTAAATAAATAAATAAACCCAGTTCTGCTGTATCTTGTAATATGATAACATTTGAGTGTTAACTGATACATTCAATCAGAATCTCAAGACAGAGCGATATCACAATAATGACTATTAAAAACGGGGGAAAAGGTGTTGCTTTCTAAGCAGTTCTTTTAATTTAACGTATGATGTTCGGGATGTTTCTAAATGTTTTTAGCGAAGCACTTCCGCAGTGTTTCAGTGACCCCGCACGGCTGTTTCTGAGAGGAGAAAGTTGGTTGGTCAGAGAGGGAAACACGTCGCTGTTCCGGAACAACCTTTAGCAGCTCCCCGACAGCATCTTCCAGCCTTCAGAGTAAGACATTTCAAATCTACGTTCACATTCGCTTTGCATTTATAATACTATAACGCCAGGGAACCACTTTCTCTGCCGTGTTCCTAACTCCTAAACCACGTTAAAAAGCGACGTTTTTTCGAAGCCACAACATAACGTCAGGCGTCTACACAGAGAGGAGAACGTCGCTGCTCTGTGCTTCCAAGGGCGAAAATACTGCAACAACGCGTACAGTCCATACTAAATAATACCACTGTAGCCACTGACATTTCATTTCGTACAATAAAACCGTTTCATTTCCCCCGGATAAAGTAAACAAAACGGACTCTAAAAATCTTAGAAATGATCCTAAGACGACCAGAACCGGGTGGACGTGATCAAGGAAGTGCTGCTGGATTGTAACGTGACGCGTTGAATCATGACGGACCAAAGGGGCTGAGCACAGAGAGATGCACATAATCACTTCACATTTTAATACAACACACCGTCTCCTTTGAGCAATAAACGCACACGCGAGTAAAGGTCGTCGAGACAGTCGTTTATTATTCACCCTGTTACTCGATAGTCAGTGGGAGGAGAGAAAGAGAGGGAGAGATGGTTCATTTAAAAGCGCATGAACGCCAGATGAAAGCGCTCTTGAACAGAATGAGAGAATCGATCAGCTGACCTTCTGTCTTATTATTACTACTACCAATAAGCCTCAAATCCCGACTGGACTTATCTATGTTGCTGTTTTTTCCCGTGACTTGAACTGGATTAGGTGGGGAGAAAAAAAACAGGATTATTGTTGTGATATTTAGCCGAACTGCATTTCATAGAGTTATGAGCACCGAGACTATGTCGCTTTACATTGAAGGTAAGAACGTTCATAAGTCCTAGTTTTGCTGTTTTATACTTGCTCATTAAGTACTTTAAAGGTTGTATTGGTTCTCTGGATATAACTTAATTAATTAGATGATACCTACTGGTATCTAGTGATCAACTGGGTCTTACTGCACCATGTACAAGCTGTCAGTTGAATTCTGATGAGAGTGAGAGCTGAATGGACCCCTCAGTCAATGCTGACTGATACACTGGGAAAGTTGCAGAAATGGAAGGGTTTATAGAGAGCATTTTGTAAACCCCAGACCTTTCCAGACTGTCCATTCCTCGCTTTGGTTTGGCTGTCAGACCACAGGTTTGGTTCTCTTGACAGCTATTCATTTGGCCTGACAATGTCTGTAATTTTAAAGAGATTTGACATTAAACACACATTACAGGGGAGACTGACTTCTGTGACTGTATGCGGTCGCCGGCAGTGTTTCAATGTAGGGCGGTGGGGTACAAAAGTATGAAGTCACATTGAAAATCCAAGATATGCAATCCAATTTAAACCTGGAAATAAATCAAAAGTTTTAGGATTTTGAAAATAATACAACAAAACATTGCGGCATACACTGTTAAAAGTTTTGGGTTTAGTAAGATTCTTTAATGGTTTTTAAAGTTTCTTATGCTCACAAAGGCTGCATTTATATGTTCAAAAATACATTTAAAAACATACTACTGTGAAATGTTAGGCTATTTAAATCTATTTTAAAATGTAAATTATACCTGTGTTTTTTTGTGGAAACCATGATGCTTTTTTTCTGGAATCTTTGACTAACAGAAAGTGTAAAAGAACAGCATTTATTTGAAATATAATATTTAGTTTTAGATAGAAATAGAAGGCATTATAAATGCCTTCACGGTCACTTTTGATCAATTTAATGAATTCCTGCTGAATAAAAGTGTACATTTTTCTAAAAAATAAAAAATGTTAATGGCCTGAGTGATAGTGTAAATCATTAACAAGATTCTGGCTTTTTTATGGGTCACTTTCAAATAAGCCATTTTGTGAAATTGATCTTGTGAACTCCTAGTGTACAGATGGTGAGATGTTCTTGCTTCCTCAATATGCTCTTTGGATCATTCTCAAATCATGCTGGAGAACATGACCATCACATTTTACACTTTTAAACTTCTGGGGTTTGAGTTTGAGCACTAAGGCCATCAAAGCAAAAGAGGGACATACAAATGTACATTTTCAATACAATTTTTATGCTCATATTATAATTTTTAATGAAAGCATTGAAGCATGGAGCATTTTCACCAGTGGTTTCAGACTTTTGGACCCCACTGTATTTAGGGTTGCCTTTCTGTGCACAATGTACAGTGTGCGGTTGAACTTTGATACGTGCAGAGTTTGATTACAGCAGCCTTTTGAGAGTTTATGCCCCTCTTAAGTTCTTTTCATGTTTTATTTTCTGTGAATGAAGAACACCTTTCTGCACACATATAGAAATGATTTGTTGATGTGTTGGTAGAATCATTTGTGAATGGCATATAATATGAATCCAACACTGCTAAAGGCACCATTCTGAAAGACTTTTAACACGGCAAGAAATGTGCAAATGCAAAACAATAAAATAGTAAAACAAACGCATATCTTTTTGAGGTGAAAGTTAAAGGAGCAGACTAAATAAAGAAAAAATATAACTGCACACTCACTTATGCGCTGTTTATTAGTTGCCAACGTTTTGTCAAAAATGAGCTATTTCTACCTGAACTCACCCTTAAAGTTACTTTTGCTGGTGTAACCTAATGTCATCAGGTTGATTCGGTAGTATAAAATGTTTTATTTTAATAGTTTTAAATATTTTTGACTTGCATAAACCAATTAATTTAGATTTTTAGCACATTTAGGTATTCTGACAATTTTGTTTTACAGTGTACCTTTACAAAATACCCCTAAGTGTGCTAGAAGTATTACATCACTCCATTTCCTTTCTTCTCAAATAGTAACATATATTGAAGCACAAATCAATATTTCATGTCCTTTTATTTACTTAGTTGATAAATAGCTGTGTAAGTGGAACAATGTATGGTCAGCCAGTCTTTAACGCAAAATAACCCTTGCTTTTATCCTGTTGGCAGACTGTACATTTTCACTGCCTTCTTTAACACTGGTTCCTCCAGAGGGACCATATCTATATTGTGAATCGCTGTGAATAACAGTGTCTGTTCAATAACTAAATAAATGACCAACAGCCCAATAAACTATAAATCAAAGTCAAGCCACTGTTTAGTTTTATTTGTAGGTAGAAGTTAGCGTAATGCTGCTGTATTAGACAATTCTGAGAAAAACTGAATTCTGGGAAAAACAGAAATGGTTTCATTTTTAAAGTGCCAGCTGACACCGTCATTTACTGGATTTTAAGTGTCACATGCCAGGAAGCATGTTAGCAGATGAATAACTTTTGGCACACTGGCAGCAGAATGAAACAAATGGGTTCATACTGATGAAATGTGGTCGAGCAGGATTCAATCAGGTAGTCACGCACTTGCTCGTGACATATAAGAGCTCGTCTTAAGCAAATAGGAGTCTGAATCCTGTTACACTTATATCTCCCCTACTTTCCTTTCTTCCTCTATACCAAATAAATGGCCCACAAATAATAATAAAAAGGAATACAGTTAGACTTTTCCTCTTCCCCATACCTCAAGCTCAGCATCTACTATTGGATAAACCATATCAAACAGAATGTAGTTTAACCTCTCTGTTGTACCCACTCACTCAAGGGTAAAGGAGGGTGTTTGTGGTAGAACAAGGACGTCTGAGTCACACCTTACATTACAGCCAGTGTAAATGGGCAGATTTACAGCAAATTAACCCTGAGCCCAGTGGATGATGTGTGTGTTACACTCAGCAAATGTTCCTGATAACATATATATGCTTTCGTGGCTTCTTGGATGGGAGTCTTTTGATTGTGTACCACAAGGCAGCGGCACAAATATTAATATTGCTTATCAGTCTCCTTATCACTGCAAGTAAGATTTATACAAATCAATT